CGTCACGGGGGGAACGCCTCCCCGCTCACCTGAGCGCCCATCCCAGCCGTGGCCTGCTCGCCCCTGTCCCTTGCACCCTGGCAGGGCTCTTCCCCAGGACCCCAGCCCCCCATGGGTCTGCGCTCTTTCAAAGTACGTGCTTTTTTTTTTTTCTCTAAGATTTTCATCCTTTATTTATTTATGCATTACCAACTTTTTTCCTTTCGGGGTAATTAGGTTCCTTTATTTATTTTTAATGGAGGTACTAGGGGTTGAACCTGGGACGTCCTGCTTGCTAAGCACGCGCTCTACCACCGAGCTATAACCTTCCCCCTGGTTTTTTGGGATTGCTGTCTTTCTTGAATCAGACAGGAACTTTTTCTTTTTACTTTGATTTTATTTTTTATTGAAGTGTAGTTGATTTGCACTGTTCGTTGCAGGTGTTCAAAATAAATTTCTGGCATTTCCATCCTTTCAACGAGAATACTTTGAAGGTTTGTACACCCGTGTCCATAGCAGCATTATTCACAAAAGCTAGACTGTGGAGGAGACCCAAGTGTCTGGCGAGTAATGAATAGGTAAACGAAATGTGGTGTATCCACACAATGGGATATTATTCCATCTTAAAAACGAAGGGGATTTTGACATATGCACAACGTGACTGAACCTTGAGGTCATTATACTACGTGGAATAAACCGATCACAAGAGGACAGATACCCTACGATTCCACTTAACATGAGGTATCTAGCGTACCTGGAGTAGTCAAGTTCACACTCACAACATCTAACATTGGTTTGATTGGTTCAAACATATTCAGACTTTCCCAAATGCCTCCTGACTCTTTGCCACTTCGATATCACCTCTGCTGAGAAGTCCTCCTAGATTTACCCCCTGTAAAGGACATCTGCCTCTGTTATTTTCTGTTTTAGGGATAGGCAAACACTATCTGTAAAGGGCCAGGCTGTAAACTTGGGGGGCTTTGTGGCCCACAGTTCTCTTGCTGTTGTAACAGGAAGGCAGCCGCAGACAGTGTGGAAATGAACTGCCGTGGCTGTGTTTCAATAAAACTTTATTTATGGACACCGAAAAAAAGGATACATGGAAGATTAGCTCTGCTGTAGGACTTGCCCCTAGGTTGTGGGGGGGGCACCCTGGGCAATAGGACAGGCTGCCCAGGTGAAGCTCACATTATAGGACAGGAAGACAGATCATTATTAGCACATGACCCGATTTTCAAAACTCACTCCAGATATGGGCACATGCTCTGAAGAAAACGAAGCAAGGTGATATTTTAAAGAGTCAATATGTGGGGGGTGGTGTATAGCTCAGTGGTAGAGTGCATACCTAGCATGCATGAGGCCCTGGGTTCAATCCCCCGTACCTCCATTAAAAATAAATGAATAAACCTCCTCCCCACCCAAAAAATCACTACGCATTTTTTTTCTTAAAGAGTGAGTAAAAGTCATAGAAAACAAACTTATGGTTACCAAGAGGGATCGGGGGTGGGAAGGGATACATTGGGAGTTCGAGGTTTACAGATACTAACTACTGTATATAAAATAGACTAACAAGTTTATACTGTACAGCACAGGGAACTATATCCAGTATCTTGTAGTAACCCATAGTGAACAAGAATATGAAAACAAATATATGTATGTATATGTATGACTGCAAGATTAAGCTGGACACTGGAAATCAACGCATTGTAACTGACTATACTTCCATTTTTTTTAAAAACTGAGACAAAAAGAGTGAATATGAAGACGAAAGCTTTTGCTTCCTTAATTTTAAGGGCCCCGGGATTCTCCATTTTTAACAACTGTCCTCCTCCAGCAACGTGCTCTGAGGCATGTGGTCTCTGGGCCCCACTTTGAGAAACACAGGCTGAAAGGCGTCAGCTCTGGTGCTAAGCACTTTACAAGAGGATTTGCTTTAAGCCCACGCCAACCTCATGACCAAGGAATGCTTGTAATTGGTGTTCTAGAAGAGGAACCTGGGGCTTGAAGAGGCAAAGCAATATGCTGAGTTTCTTTTTGTCTTTTTTTCTGAAACAATCCTGCCTTTATTTCTATTACAAAGTGCAATTTATCTGCCCTTCTGTAATTGTGGGGGTTTTCCTTTCTTAAATTTACTGTTTTATTGACATACAGTTGATTTACAATGTTGTATTAGTTTCAAGTGTACAGAATAGTGGTTCAGTGATACATATACTATGTGTGTCTATATATATATATTCTTTTTCAGATTCTTTTCCATTATAGGTTATTACAAGATACTGAATATAGTTCCCTGTGGTATATCATATACATATACTGCTATACAGTAGATCCTAGTTGTTTGTCTAGTTTATAGTGATATGTACCTATTAATCCTAAACTTATACATATGTGAAATGTTTTTGTATATATGCATCTTCTTCTTATTTTTTTTCTTAGTAGACGTACTGGGGATTGAACCCAGAACCTCGTGCACGGTAAGCAGATGCTCTACCAATGAGCTACACCTTCCCCGCTACATGTCCACATTTTTTATGTCCCTATAAGACGCAGAAACCAGATGAGCTGCCTCAATGTGGGGGAGGGGGGTTAGATTAGCATCTCAATCTCACCTGCCCTGCTCTGTCCTTTCCCTTTCTTCAAATTAGTTCCCTCTTTCCTCCAGTGCATTTGTTTCCCTCCCCTCCCCTTTAAGGGAAAACAGGACCAGAAAACCAGCAACGTTCCTTTTCTTCCCATTTATTTTGTTTCTCTCCATGTCTGTCTCTCTCCTCTCTCTCCCTCTTTCTAGCAGAAACCTCAGAAGCAGCGGGCTGCAGAGGGCTGAGGAAACCGTGGTGCTTTCCCAGCGGCAGGTCCACGGACCTCGGAGCGACGTGCTCAGGCTGGTGGCATGATGGCCCCTGCAGATTAAAGAACTCTCCCCAGCTACAGAAGCACCCAAAGTCTAAAGGAAACCATTTTCTCCAGTGTTACCGGTTTTAGGAGTAAGAAAAACCTTCTCAGAAGACCCCCCAGCAGGCACAACCTCATGTCCCATTGGCCAGATCTAGGTCACCCCAATCCAGTCATTAGCCAGGAGACTGGGGCCTCCATGAGTGGACTAGACCCAGCAGAACTCCCTTAGCTGGGGCTGGGGTCACACTTCCACAACTGAGGTTCTTACAAGCCTGATTCCCTTTCATCACTCGAGCCTCAGCTCCAGTGTCACCTCCTCCGAGAAGCCTTCCATGAACACCCTATGCAGATTAATCTTGCCAGGCACTGGCTCTCTCACCAAATTATTATCTGTTCCTCAGGGCACGTATCACGATTGTAAACCATGTTGCTCACTTTTGTTTTCTAGCAGGTAGATACCATCTTTACTGACATTTAACAGGTAAGGAAAACAGAGGCATCTTCTCCCATTAGGGGTCGGTGCCGAGCGTGCACAGACATGGAGGTTACCATTGTCCACAGAAATCTCCAATAAACAATCTATCGTAGGAAGAGAGAAGAGTTTTATTTGAGCCAGACTGAAGACTATCGCCCGAGACACGGACGCAGGAAGCATTTGAATTGTGTTCGACTAGACTACCAAATGGGGGCGCCTTTTGTAAACCCACAGCATCATACAAGTTGTTGGTCAAGAATTATAAGTAGAGCTGGTAAGAATAAAGGGGGCTTGTTAGGCAAGTGTTGATCAGGTCCAAAATGGTTGTGTAGTTTCAAGAAGAAACCTGGAGACCGTATGGTGGCAGCTAGCAGATACTTGGAGAACAGCTGGTGGTGAAGCTAAATCATGTATAAGCCGGAATGACTCCCCCACCCACGCCTCAATAGGCGAAAATTTCTTCTGTCGCTGTTTTGGCTTCCTTCCCATCATTTGCCTGTGTTCCCCTAAACTGTGATTACAGTATTCCCTTGGTTCTTTTTAATTATAAATCTGACACGTACTTAAGATTAAGCAAGAGTTAAAAAGGCAAATGCCCACAGGCAGGGCCGATGAGGCGCCATAAGGCACAGCTGGTCTCGTACAGTTGGTGGCAGCCCTGGTAGGGTGGGTTAGTGCCCTACCGGCAGTCGTGTATTTTGAATGTCTTCTTGCCCAGCAGGCTTTGGCACAAGGATGGGAGTGGAGGTGGCAGAGGTGACAGAGAGGGTGGGTGGGGGCGTGGAGGAAATTAATTCCTGAGTGTATGTGGGGTCTCTCCACCTGGGCACTATGACTTTTT